ATAAATCCTTATTATTTAAAATACATGAATAGTGTAGAGTATCACTACTTGGGAGCCTATTTTAGGCCATACAATACTTTTTAATGTTTACATACATAATTAGGTTGTTTTTCATCAACAAATCCTAATGGTTGTATCGTATATATGGTGTCTTCCATTGTTTTGTGAAGGAATGCATTTGAAACATTAAGCTGATGCACTTCCCACTCATTGTAGAGCGGAATGGTTAAAAGAATTCCAATTGTGGGGGAATTTAGCCACTAGGTTGAGCATCTCAGTATAGTTGATGCTTGAATTTGTTTGAATACTTGAGCAACAAGTCGAGCTTTATGACATGTTATAGATCCATTAGTCTTACATTTGGTTTTGTAAGTCTAACGATCGCCCAAGACAAGATGTCGGTATGGGGAGGGAACAAGCTGCCATGTACCTTGCTTTTGCAGAGATGTGAACTTCTCAGACATAGCTTTTCACCACTAGGAGAAGTTAATTGCCTGGTTAAAACAAGTGGGGTTTGTTGGAGAAGCAACTTGATGAGTCATATCCATTATTTTCTTATGTTTCTAGGTTTCTAAGTAAATTTTAGCGATCATGGGATGTTTGCTAGTTTGAGAAGAGAGAATTGGCATGTTGTTTGGGTTTTGATAAATTTTAATGATTGGAAGTTCTGATGCTATATTGTTTTTGGGTTTAATGAAGTGAGAGGTGGGTGTAAGTTATGAGATATTTTTGATCGTGGAATTGAAGTGGAGTTTATGTGTGAGTATGTGCTGGGAGTAATAGAGATAGCGAGGAGGTGTATAAGAGGGGGTTGTTCGAGTTGCTGATGAGAGAAGAGTGGTGAAATGAATTTTCATCATGTGACATGCCTAGATTTGAGAATTTTTATTGAAGTGGGATTAAGACATCGTAGCATTTATAATTCTCAGAATTGTCAAGGGATATGCAATGTGGAGCTTTTAGTGAGAGCTTATTTAGAGTTGTTGGTTGTTGCCAAGGAAAGCAAGAGGAACCAAAGACTCGTAGATAAGTGTATTATGGTGGTTGAATGAAGAGTAATTGATAGAAGAATTACATGTGTGTAACTTTGGATGTGATGTTATTTATAAGGTATGCTACTATTGTAACAACATCTATTCAGAATGAGAGTGAGAGTTGTGTCGTGAGGGGTAGAGTTCGGGTAGTCTTAAGGGATTAGAATATATTTTGATTTAATATACTATTTATGAGCTATTGATGATGAATTTCATGGTGAGAGTTGAAGTTTCATAAGGGATTAGAGATATGTTCAAACCATCTTTATATAATATACTAGTCATTCATTTTTAAAGAAAGAAGATTAGAAATTAAGAAGTTATATATAAATCCGATGTTGATATCAAAGGACATTTTTTGAATTGTACAATGTGCATTAGCCTTGTTAGCAATATCATGCATTGATGTTTTGGAGATGAAGAGTAATAAAATGAATGGACATTGGTGTAATAGGGTTTCAGTGTAGTTGAGTAATGATGGTAGGGATACATATAGATGTCATATAACATTTGCTCGAAGATGGTACCAAGGCAACGTTGGTTAGAAAGCTGTGTTGGAGTGCTTAAATTGAGAGAACATGAACGAGTAATTATGAACATGTATTAAATGTTCAATGGAGCATTAGAGTTTGTCAGATCTTCAAGCTCTATTTTAAATTTTATGTCAAGGACCAAGCCTAATTTAACGTAGGAAATGAGACTTTATTTGTAATTTTATGAAATTATATTTCAGTAAATTTTCCTACAATCTCAAAACTATTTATTTAACATCATTTGTTAATTCTGTTAATTATAAATTAATCTTTCATTTTTTAGGTGTCTTGACGAGTTTAGAATGAAGTTATTTTAACTAGATATGTGAGTAAAAAAAAA